TGGTTGGCATGTGCAAGATCCTAACTAGATTTAGTGGATACGATTTTTCTTTGAAAATGTGTTTCTTTGTCATGTGTAAAATGTGAGGGAAGGTGAGGGTGAAAAGTTCTGTATCAGTGAAATACTATCATATTTAATTACAATCTTGACATTCTGTATTGTTGAAGCTTGTTTCTTAAGATTGAGTTTGGAATTCTTGAAGAATTTCAGGTGGTATGAAGGTGAAAGCTGACAGGGATGAATCTTCACCTTATGCTGCTATGCTTGCAGCACAAGATGTTTCCCAGAGATGCAAGGCCATATACATTCCTTTAGCTATTAAGAAAAACCTGAAAATGTCACTTTACATATTTATATGTTAACCTGTTACTAGAAGACATACAAGATACAACATTACTCTCTGGTTTATGTTGGTGTTGACATATTGCAATTTTTTATGCTGAACAGGAACTTGGAATCACTGCTCTTCACTTCAAATTACGTGCTACAGGGGGGAACAAGATCAAGACCCCTGGTCCAGGTGCTCAGTCTGCTCTCAGGGCTCTTGCTCGCTCTGGGATGAAAATTGGCTGTATTGGTAAGGCATTCTTTTTAACAACTATTTGAAAGTATTTTAGAATGCTGAGGAATAATTTTCTTTTGCATATTACTGTCAAATCTTACATTGTTATTCTATTTTTCCAGAGGATGTGACTCCTATTCCCACCGACAGCACCCGTAGAAAGGGTGGTAGAAGAGGGAGAAGGCTGTAAACTAGCACCTTCTATTGTAGCAATCTACCCATTATTTTTGGTTGTGCTTTTGGTTACTTGGTAATGGTTCTTTGCTACTCCTTTTTGTAGTTTTAACCGATTTGGCAGTCTTGGGATTTATATTTGAGTAGTAGAAAATGAAAGGCTCTGAATATATCCTCGTTTTTTTCATATTCCTGGTACTTTTAGTATGAATATCTTGTTATAAGTAGAGATGCTTTAAGAAAGGAGTATTATCTTTGATTAAAAAATGGTGGATGCTAGCTTTGTTGTACAAAACTTGGAATTTTACGAATTCAATTGAGTCCGACCCCACTATAATGTCAGTTATTCCAGTTAAGGTTGAGTCTGTTCTTAGTAGGGTTTTTAAAACCTTTAAAGTGATAGTTCTACATCTGTCTTCAATGGATCAAACCATTAACGTTTGGCCCTGTGCTTCAGTTCAATAACTAGTCTGGCAAAAATTTCTTTTCAAAAGAAAAGAAAGAGCCTTACTATTGTTAACAGAAAATGGTGAGAGTGTGAAACTAGGAAATAGAAAGTTGAAATGCAAACGATTTGATACAATAGCAAACGGAGATAGCAAAAATCATGAGCTGATTGTTGAAATTTTGAATTATAGACGCGTAAATTCTGCTGTCACCTCTTGGTACAGCACTGCCCAGGCTGGATGGGGTGCTCGAACTCTGAAGGGCCGTGCTTTTTATAGTTACATTTGCTCGATTGCTTCGCAATTAGCATTGCTGCAGGCGGTTTTGGTGGTGCCTGCTTGGTGAAGATAACGAAGGACTTTGTGTTTGTGGCTGTTTGGATTGTCCTTTATCTGGTCAAAGACATTAAAAATATTAAAAAAGTTGTGCACGTATTTCTCATCAGCCACTAAGTATAAATGAATTTAGGACCTTCTCAACAAATTTCCTTTTCATCTTTAAAGCAACAACCTTTTAACAATAGCCTCAATCCTGCTTAGAGCTCAATCATATTGATTATCATATTTTTACAATAACAAGATATTTTTTACATTAGCTAGACTGCATGGAATATTTGATCTTCAGATACAGAAACATCAGTTTGGTTCAAAACATGTCTGAAAGGAGATATAGAAACCCTAAACTTTCAGAAAAGGGTAGCTGTAGTTTATCACTTCAGGTTTCTATCAATTCAGTAGCAATTAAACCGCCTAGATAAATCAAGTATGTTCCTTTTTATATTTGTCTGTGGGGTGGGGGATGTCAAAATGCTTTTCATTGCTTGTTTGTTTGGGTCTTTTGACTGTTAAATTCCATAATGGCAATAGTTTCGAATTCGTGGTTCATCATATAGTCTACCTTACAGTATTATCTTGTAGGAAGAGTTCTTGACAAGACATGAGCTCAGAAAATTCTGGTTAACATCAACAATGCTGCTACCAGATCATTCGTAGAAGACAATGTGCAATCCAACTTGCGACAGCAATATATATTATGGATATGTAATTTGAAAGTTCAGCAGGAAAGTTCTTGAATGCTTTGGAGAGCTTTAAACCTGTTTGAGCAAAAGATAGCAAATAGTACAGGAGAAGACTGAAGTTCTATATTTTCTTGCCAGATGCTGCAGGTGAAACTGATTGGACTACACATCAAGTCTCTTAATTTTTCAACAAGTACGAAGAAGTATGGTTCACACCTCGAATTTAGATTGTATAAATTTTCAATAACAAAAAAAGAAAGCCAATTTATTCAGGAACAAATGGGAAAAGCATACCTGCAGATCAAGAGGGATGCAACCTGATTACAATATCACAGTAACTATGGAAAAATATAAAAACAAAAAGGAATATATCCCTAAGAAGATATCAGCACTACAATAGTTAATTACTGCTGATTATTATATCCTCCAGGCTTATTTAGATGCGAGACCAGACTTGAGAGCTTGAATAGTAGCAACATCAGTTTTGAAGGATTTAGCCAAGATGTTGTCGTCAATGCCGGTACCAAAAAGAGTCATGGGAAGTGAGATAATGCCTGCATTTGCACTCCCAAAAGCAGAAAATGCCGGAGCTGGGTTCTTTGCATCAGCATTGTACTGAAAGTGCACAAGTCCGTTAGGGAAGATGAACATATCACCAGCTTGTAGTGACTGAGTGAAAAGCTTGTTGGTTGTGTCGATAAAACCAACTTCCAGCTACGAGAACAGGAGCTCAGCAGAACGGGGGTGGGTGTGTGGAGGGTTGGTTGAACCAGCTGGGAATTGAAGAACAGCATATGAAACACTTTGCCCGTTTAGAGCAGGGAATTCTACCATGCTTGCTTTCATGACTGTAAAATTGTGGGGAAGTCTCCATCAATAAGTACTCGCATCCCAGTTAAGGTAAAGAAGTTTCCATCAATATTGTTCACGTCTGGTGGGACTAAAAAATCAGAGGTGATGTCTGCATCTACGGCCAAGGCCATTTGGGTAATAATAGTAAATGCAGATAACAGTACAAAAAGGAATTTCAGGGTGGTAATTCTTGAGGCCATGGTGGAAAAGTTGATGTATAGAGGTGTAAAGCTAGGTGTGTAACTTTGTATAACAATAGACTAGATGTGCTGTGAGGTGCTTGAACTTCGAATGGCTCTATTTATAGAGTTCTATTTACGTGATTTCTTCACTCTTAGCGATGCTGCAGGCCTATTCATTGGTGCCTATAGGTAAAAATCACTGAGGGCTTTGTATTTGTTGTTGTTTGGTTCTTCATTGTGCTGGTCAAAGACCTTAAAAGTATTACAAAGAATTGCAAGTACTCTTCAACAGGCACAAAACACAATGACTGAAGACCTGCCAACAAATATAACTAGCCAAACTGAATCGATTTTTATATTTTAGCTGCCTCATGTTAACTTGTTATCCTTGAATACTCATAGCAAAAGGAGAAGAGAGAGTACTGTCAGCTTTTTTTTTTTTTTAAGAAAAATACTGTCAGCTTTTTGAATACATATCACTGTCCATATGGCTCCTTGGTTCTGAAAACACTTCTAAATTCATCTGTAAAGCAATAAGCGTCAACAGTTAATGGCCTTGGTTCTGCTTAGAGCTCAGTCATAACCTTCTCAAGTTCTAGCTATATTAACACTACTTGGCTATATGGTTCAAAGATGATCAAAGTTCATTGTATATATGGGAATTTTCTCTAGACTGCATTGTGTTTTCATGCTGGAACCTCGCAGAATCCCAATAAATAAATAAATAAATAAAATAAAAAAAGTGCATTAGGGAGTCTGCAGGCTGCAGCTATAAATGCTCAGTGTCTTTTTCTCTGTTTTGGCATTTCCCTGGCTGAAGATGGTCTAACCCCCACCACATACATTCCCATCCATAGGTAGGCTACAGCCTCCAGGACAGACTTTATCTTGGTTTCATAGTCATCAACAACTCTGCACTTATAAATGTCAACTTGCCACGGCTTTGTTTGGGAGTTTATATACAGTGCAGAAGATGAACGCAGGTCTTGCGCCTGAATCACAGTTGGTTTGGTTTAATCTTAGTCTGAAATTTAGTGCCTATTCTGCCTTTATCTTTAGTTCAAACTAAGGATGAACCTTGGTATAATCTAGGAAAGAAATTTTCATGACATTGGAATGCAATTTGTGTAGGAAGGCCAGTGTAGAAAGAAATTCTTCCTCTACTAGCCAGGTCCATATCTTCTAATCATTTATATCCCTTGTTTAGCAAACCTAGGCTATAATATGGAGTTATTTATTATAGTTTTGCTTTGGGTTTATTGGACTGAGCCTCACCAAGTGCTTTTCTAAGGCCACAATATCAAGGAAAATAGAAAGAATATATTTGTACTAAGGTTCAAGTTCTAGTCACGATTTGTATTATCAAGGTTCAAGTTCTAGTCATGACCAAATCTAGCCACAATATCATTTGTTTTATTCTTTTTAATTATTTACCAAGTGACAGATTTTAATTGCCCTTCTATAACCTTTATTTTTAGAGATTTATAAAACTCAATTGTAATTATCTGCATGTAACCAAAATTTAGATTCAAAATTATCTGTAATTCAATTTTGATCACATAAATTTAGTAAAACAAACAAATTGAGACAACCAATTTATTTCAAATTGGAAATGCATAATCCTCTGATCCAGGGGGAGGGTAGTTCAATACAAAATCACAATAAAGAAGTGAAAAATTAAGAAAAGGGAATCATAAACATCTTGGAACAAATTAAGCAGTACTATAGAAGTAACTGCTGATTGTTATTCCTTAAGGGCTAAGGCCTACTTAGATGTAAGACCAGCCTTGAGAGCTTGAATGGTAACAACATCAGTTTTGAAGGATTTAGCCAAGATGGTGTCATCGATATCGGTGGCAAAAAGGGTTTTAGGAAGTGATACGGTTCCTGCATTTGCACTCCCAAAAGCAGAAATTGCCATAGCTGGATTCTTTGGATCAGCATTGTACTGATAGTGCACTAGTCCCTTAGGGAAGATGAACATATCACCGACTTGTAGACTCTGAGTGAAAAGCTTGTTGGTTGTGTCAACAAAACCCACTTCCAGGTTTCCGTACACAAGGAAAAGGAGCTCAGCTGAGCGAGGATGAGTGTGCGGAGGGTTGAGAGTACCAGCCGGGTATTGGAGAACAGCATAAGAGACACTCTGACCATTTAGAGCAGGGAATTCTACCATGCTAGCTTTGAGGACTGTAAAATTTGTGGGGTAGCCTTCATTCACAAGAACTCGCATCCCTGTAAAAGTAAAGAAGTTTCCATCAACTTTGTTTTGGTTTAGAGGGACTATAAAATCAGTGAGAATATCAGGATCCCCTGCCAAGACCATTTGGACAATGGCAAATGAAGATAACAAAAGAATATAGAGTTTGAGGGAGGATGTCCCTGAAGCCATATTAGAGAACTTGAAACTTTTACTATTGATATTTGATATGCTGGATGGGGTGCTTGAGCTTCCAAGGATGGTGCTATTTGTAGTGTTTTATTAAGACCATGGCTTTGTACTTTGTACTTTGCTATTTGTATATATTCTTCCAGGCCAATTTGGTGACTGCAACAGGTAAAGATCCCCAAGTCATTTGCACTTGTTTATGGCCGTCTGGTTTGTAATTTAGGTGATCAAAGACGTTAAGAACTTTAGGAACATTCCTTCATATTCTTATGAGACTTTATTGGCCACATAAAAGAATTGATGGGAGACATTACCAACAGTTTAGTTGTCATTTTCTGCTCATTTTTGTTGACATTTACTAATAGGATAGACGGAGAGGCATAGATGGAAGATCAGTTCTTGAAATTCTAAATTTATTTGTACTACCTACAATGTTTAGTTTTTATTACAGATGATCATACCTATGAGCTTGGAGAGGCAACAGCTCATCATAAATTGAACCAAAAAATGTTTTTATTTATCTTCAATAAAAAATCAAAAGGCTATTTGATAAAATTTGGTGTCATCAAAACAAAAGAAGGGCCCAGAAAATAAAAAAAAAAAAAAAAGAGAGAAAATGACAAATCAATAACAAAATGAAGGAAGTTGGGATTATCATCGGTGATAAAGCATAATTTCCTGATATCCCCTTATGGGCCTGCAAGAATATCAACAGCTCCCAACTTAGCCATTGCCTGTCCGAACTTTGCAAGGAAGTCATTGCTGGTGACTAGACTCGCCACTGTGCCATATGTGAAGTGAAGGGGTCCAAGGCCAGCTCTTGATCAAGTTGAAGAATTCCTCTGTTTAGTATTATTTGCTTGTAGGAGTTGTCAAGAGTAAATGAACTCAGAGGATTCGGGTAAAGATTAACAGGTCTGTTAGTCCGGTGAATTTTGTGGACATATTAGTCTCAGATTCTTAAGTGATTAATGGATCCATGGTCGGGTCTGGCTTCCCGCTGTTCTAGAATTGTAAAGCCGGTCTTGGAATAGAAAACAATGTGTAAACCCAGTTGAGTGAGCACCTATATGTTGTGTATGTGTGTGGTCCAGCCCTATTATTTTATTAATTTAAAAGCCCAAAAGTCATTTTTTTTTAATTTAATCCAAAGGAAGCCTTATTTTACGGATAAGAGGCGGGGGCTGCCTTAGGCGAGAAAGAGTGAACCGCGAGAGAGAGAAGTTAGAGAAAAAAAAGAAAAGGAAATTGTCCTCGGGTGAGAGGAAAAAGGAAAACGGGGAGTTGTCAATTTGATCAAAAGGTTAAATAAAAGTTAATTCTTGTTTTGATTAAGTTGAAAGTCTGTTCGTACATTTACGTTTCAATGTTTTTATATTTTGAATAATAAAATTAAAATTAAAATTTTTTTAAAAAATTCAAAGCGTATTTCTTAAATCATTTATTTAATAAGATTTTTTTAATTGTTTATGTAATTATTGTTTAACTTTAATTTTAGTTATAGGAGAATTTTTTTATATTTATTATTTGATAATGAAGATTTTTTTGATAATTTTTTTTTTTTACACTAGAAGTTTTTTTACGTAAATTTTAATGTGTTTTATTTTTCTCGTGTTGTTCATTATTGTTTTTATCTGTTTGTTGTAGGTTTATTGTGATATATTACTTTTGTATTATTATGTTTGTTGCTTTAGGTTTGACAAGTGGTATCAAAGTCAGATTAATTTTGAAACATCGATACTATAGCAAACCAATCAAAGTTATTGTAGCAACTAGTAAATTCTATTTGAAATCATAGAGAGTGATAGAGATTCTATAATAAAATTGACAGTCTTAAATTATTCAATTTGAAAGCCAATGATAAAGTATCATTTATACTGTAACAATTTGTATAAGCCGATATTGAATGATTTGACTAAATCAATAGATATGAAAGATAAAAGCTAAAAGAAGCTAGGTAAAAAAATGTTGGCCACAATTGATATTAGTGTGCTCCATCATGTAACATAAGAGACATATGCCCATATTGTTTGAAAAAAAATTAGTAGCATTATATGAGAGGAATATATGTATGAATAAAGTTATACTTGTTAAAAAACTTATAACTTTACAGTATAAGGATTGACGATCGATTACAGAGTATTTGAGTAATTTTCAAGATATATTCAATTGGATGACTACCATAGAACTTAAAATGGATAATGAAATTCACGAAGGTGTTGTTTCTTCTAGATTCATTGCTAGACAATTGGAATACTATAATTGTGATTGTTCTTAATTCATATCCTAATTAAAAATTGATGTTGAATATGGTAAATGTTAGTATGCTTAATGAAAAAAAAAAGGGAAAAAGAGTCAGATTTTGAAAATCAAATTATTGTCACAGAGAACATAAGCAGAAACATTGACAGAGATCAAAATTCAAAATGCCATAATAAGTCTAAAAATAGATCCAAGTATAGGAATAAAGTAAAGTGCTACCATTGTGGAAAATTCAACCACATAAAATGGAACTACAAAATCTTAAAGTAAGAGATGAAAGTTGAGATAGGCAAAAGTTTAGATGATGACAGTTTTATAGGGGTGAATTTAGATAATGATTTAGTTACTTTGATTTGTACACAAGGCAATTGTAATTATGTTGATGATTTAGGCAGTGAGTGGAATAGTTGACACAAAAACAACATATCATTGTGTTCCCTAAAGGTAGTTATTTATAACTTACAAGCCATGAGACTTTGGTTGCACTAAAATAGAAAATAAGAGTGTGTCACAGATTGTTGGGATCGATGATATTATTGTACAAACTAATATAGGCTATACATTGACTTTGAGGAATATTAGACACATTTCGGATATGAGAATGAACTCATTTACGATTAATGTCTTTATTAAAAAAGGATATGAGAGTCAGTTGAATAATAGATAGTGAAAACTTTTCAAAAGATATATAATAGTTGCAAGAGGAAAACTATGCTACATAATGTATAGGACGTAGATGCAATTGAATAGTAACTAGATAAATGCCGTTAAAGATAATGCTTTAGCAAATTTGTTACATAAAGGTTGGCACACATGAGTGATAAAGGGTTATAGATTTTGACGAGACAGTCTATTATTTTTTTGACCAAAAATATATCTCTCGATTTATGCGATCATTATTTGTATGACAAGTATCATAAAGTTTCTTTTCATAAGCATTCTCAAAGGAAAAAAATAAATTGGAATTGATTCATTCTAATGTATATGGTTTCATTGAGGTTGAGTCATTAGGTGCTAGTAGATACTTTGTTACTTTTATTGATGATGCTTCACGTAGGACTTAAGTTTATTATTGAAAAATAAAAGCCAGGCATTACCGTATTTTCAAAAAATTTTATACCATGGTGGAAATGATAATTGGTTTGTCTTTGAACTGTATTTGAATTGATAAAAATGGAGAATACACATCCGAAGACTTTAAAGAATACTGTTCAAAGTATAGGATCAGACATGAGATAACAGAACTTGGAACATTATCGTATGGAGCTAAAATGATGAATTGCACCATTATGAAAAAAGTCAGATGTATGTTAAAGATGGTAAAATTACCAAAGCCATTATGGGGTTAAGTAGTTAATACAGTCTGCTATTTGATTAATAGATCACCATTAGTTCTTTTAGGCTTTAATATTTTGAAAAAAGTGTGGATAGAAAAAAATGCTTCATACTTTCACTTGAAAGTATTTGAGTATAAAACATTTATGCATGTGTCAAATGAGTAGAGTTAAAACTTGACAACAAAGCTTAAATGCTCCTTTTTGTCACCTACAAGTGCACATATTGTATTTAAGTGATAAAGAGTTAGTAGAACCAAGTACCAAAATGGTTCTTTCAAACTTTATATTTAGACAAGTCAAATGAAATTGAAATTTAGATTGAAATTTGTATTGAAAACAAAAATAAAAGAGTTTAGAAATGTAAAGGTCGAATGCAAAGCTAAGACAAGATTGAAAACTCGTTAGCAATGAGGTTGATCGAATAAAGCAAGTTGCAATTGAAATGTAAATGGAAAACAAGTAGAACCGAATGCTTGTAAAAGAAAGTTGAGTTAGTCAAATGTAAGGAGAGTATAAAGAGCAAGAGCAAATATGTAAAAAGCAACAAAGTAAATAAAAGATCAAAATTAAGAGCTTAGAGTAAAACTTAAAAGTAAACTGAATGCTTGAATGTAAATAAGAAAGGTTTGAAGGAAATGTAAATAGAACTTATATTGAAAAATAGCTTCGAGAAAACAAGAAAATGTAGACTAGTTTGTCATTTTAGCCGAATGAAAATAAAGATTACAAAAGTTTAGAAGAACCAAAACTAGAAAAAAAAAATAGAAATGAGAGGTTGGAATGAATCAACGAGGATTGTGTTACAAATGAACTAGAGTAGCTTATTTATAATACACAACTTGGCTTAAGGGGATAAATTTGGACAGTTTCACTTAAACCTAAACTTTTTTAAATTTAAAATGTAATCTTAAAATTCAAATGAGGTTGGTCGAATGGGGGAAGCTTTTTGGATAATATAGAGCTTGTGTGGCTGAATTAGACTCTTAGATTGGTCTATTTGTGCCACCTATACTTAAGTGTCCTTGCTTAGTCAACACAATTTGAATTTTAAATAAATATCATAGGAGATTAGTCTAGTTTGAATTCAAATGCTTAATCTCTTGATTTATTTCACTTGACTTGAGACTCTTTTGAATTTAAGAGAGTCCTCATATACACGACTTCTTCTTCTTTGGTCAAACATATTATTAGCATTCATTGGGCATCTTGGTTCGGCTACAACATGAGCTAAGTTGCCACCTTTTACATATGTTGAGCTTTCTTGCATGCATGGTTGAATAAGCTTTGATAGACTTTTTATACCTTGGTCAAATGTTATCCACCAACTTTGTATGAAGTGCATGATTCATGCATGGCTTTATTTTTGTCACCATTGCATGGTTTGCATGGATTTTGCCGTTTACATCCAAGTTTACTAATTTCTTTATGCAAACTTGAAAAATCAAGATTTTAACACATTAAGGCATAAAATTCATGAAAAATTTCAAGATTTAAAGGCTAAAGTAATATAAGAAAAGCTATAAATTTCATAGTCATCAAAGCCATATAATATGTGTTTGTCGATTATGGTGATGAGAAATTTGGTTACATATTATAAGATCTTGTGAAGAAAAGATAGCCAAAAGTAGAGCTCTGATCTTTCATAAAAAAGAACCATAGTAGACTTTGAGAAGAGTAAAAAGATTGCACAAGCTATTATTGAGTGCGATGATTCAACATTGATAAGGGTTCCATTTAGAAGAGCCACATATGGTAAAAGTGAGTAAAAAATAAAATTTAAGGATACAAATAAGCTAACTACAGTTAGTGATGAACTAGATGCAATTAATATTAAGCAGGGGGAGCAATCTTTTCATAAGAGAATGTTGAATAGGAGGAGCTACCTTCGATATTAAGTATTATAGGGTTTCAGCCTACGAGTTTTACTAGAAAACACAGATCATCTACCAGGTATCCAATTTTAATTTTATTTTAGTTATTAATGAGGGGGATCTAGTAAACTTTCAAGATGTGCAAACTATTCTGGATAAAGAGTATTGGTTAAAAGTAATGAAAGAAAAAATGAAATCATTGTGAAAAAATGGTATATATGATCTTGTTAAGCTTTCAAAATGAAGAAAGTCATTGCAAAATAAATGGGTGTTCAAATTGCAAAAGAATAGTAACAAGCTAGTGAGGTACAAAGCTCGATTGGTGATGAAAAATTTTTCTTAGAAACCTGACATCGACTTGATGAAATCTTTTTTTCAGTTGTAAAGATGAGTTCCATTCAAGTGATATTGGGATTAGTAACTAGTTTGAATCTTGAACTTGAAGTAACTTGATGGATTAGCCTAAGGGTTTTAAAGTAAAAGGGATAGTGCACTTAGTTTACAAACTGAAAAAAAGCTTAGATGGCTTGAAACAAGCTTTGTGACAATAGTACAAGAAGTTTGATTCTTTTACGGTGAGTTATAGTTATAGAAGAACGGTAGTAAACTTAGTATATATGTCAAAAAATTCTTTGATGGTAACTTTATTATTCTTTTATTATACGTTGATGATATGCTAATTGTAGGATAAGATGTTGTATGGTTCACATGTTGAAAGAACAATTGTTTAAGTCTTTTGACATGAAAGATTTAAGTTCAGTAAAACATATTCTTGGTATAGATATTATTCGAGATAAGAAAGCTAAGAAATTATGGTTGTCATAGAAAAAATATGTCGAAAGAGTGTTTAGTAAATTCAAAATACAGTATGCTAAATCATTTAGCATGCCGCTTGCCAACCATTTTCATTTGAATAAAAATCTTGTCCGATGATTAAATAAGAGCAACTAATTATGTTTTGTATTATTTATTTCTCTATAGTCAATTCTTTGTTCTCTTATGGTTTACACACTATCTAACAATATTGTTTATACAATTAGAGTAGTGAGTAGAGTTCTTTTTAATTCGGGGAAAGTTCACTAAGAAACATTGAAATGGATTTTTCGCTGTTTGAGGGGCACCTAAAAAATATACTTGAGTTATGGAACTACTTAATTAATTTTAGAAAGGTTTACCAATATTAACATAGCAGATGATTTTAATGGTAGAAAATTTATTTTAAGGTATTTGTTTACTTTTGTAGCAGAGCTAAGTCTTGGCAGTCTAAATTGTAAAAGTGTGTTGTCTTGTTGACTACAAAGGCTGAGTATATCACAGCAACTAAAGCAAGTAAAGAAATGCTTTTGATGAAATATTTTCTTCTTAAATTAGAGTTGAATCTGAAAGAGTATGTAGTATTTTATGATAATCAGAGTGCTTTCGATTTGAGTAAGAATACCATGGCCTATGCCAGAATGAAACACTTTAATGTTAGATGTCACTAGCTACATTGGGTGATTGAGGAGCAGTAAATATAGTTGAAAAAAGTTCGTACTGATAAGAATATAATTGATATATTAACTAAGACACTTCTAAAAAAAAAACACTTGAGCTTTATAATAACTTGGCCAAAATAGTTTTCTTAGTATGTAAGTTTCAAATGAAACTATTATGATAATAAATCTCCTTCCAATGGAGCTAAAGGGGGAGATTATTACGTGTGTGGGGTTTAGTCATATACTTGTGTTATCTTAAAAGCCCAAAAGCCTTTGTTTCTTTTTAATCAAAAGAAAACCTTATTTTATATAAAGAGGTAAAGGTTATTTTAGGTGAGAAAGAGTGAGTCGCCAGAAAAAGTAGCTAAAAAAAAGGGAATTGTTGTCAAGTGAGAGGAAAAAGAAAGAAATGAGGAGTTGTTAGTTTGATCAAGAGGGTGAATAAATGTTGATTCATGATTTGATTGAGTTAAAATATTTTTAGTATGTTCACGACTCAGTGTTTAACAATTTGAAAGGTAGATATCGAAGTTGAAGCTCTCTAAAAACAAATCTAAAGTATATTTGTTAAGTTATCTATTTGGTTAGATTACTTCAATTGTATCTCTATTTATTGTTTAACTTTAATTTTAACTAGAGAAAAATTATGTATATCGATTATTTAATAATAGAAAATTTTTAATAATTCGTGGTTTTTTTCTTTTTATATTAGAGGGTTTTTCAAGTAAATCTTGATATATTTTATTTTTGCTATATTGTTGATTATTAGTTGTTATCTATTTGTTATGAGTTTATTGCGATATATTATTTTTGTTGGGCTAAAAGCCTCCAATCCAATTACACCAACGGAAACGAAATCAAACAATAAATCAAACACACAAGAGACAATAATTTAACGTGGTTTAGTCCAACTGGCCTACATCAACGGATGAGAAACAAGATCTACTAGTTGTAAAGAATTACAAACACACATTAAATCATCAACCTCACTCAACAATCAATATTCATAAGACACTCTCAATCTCCTCTAGTCCTATGAAGTATTTTCAACCCAAACAAACATAAACCCAAACCCTTGTGCACCCTTTCAACATAACCAAACACAAACACATACCCATATACTCCCATACATTATACCTATATGGACCCTCTCAATTTTCTCTAGTCCACTCACAAATAAATATACACACCCATAAGACGTAGAGCCCCAATACTCCTATGGGGTGTCTATCCCCACAAAACCCTACAACTCTTTTACATCTTTTTCTCATGTCTAACCCTGTAGAGATTTCACCTATTTATAACCATACAAACTTGCCCATTAAGAATCACTTTTCTCTTAGAATTCTTCTCTTGTAAGTCAAACTTACCTATTAAGAATCCCTTTCCCCTTAAAATTCTTCTCTTGCAAGTCAAATTTACCTATTAAGAATTATCTTTCTTTTAGAATTTTTCTTTTGCAAGTCTTCTTGTCCATCAAGCAATATCTAACAAATCTCAAACAAATCTCTTATAGAATTTAAGTCAATATTCCCAACAGCTTTCGCATTATTGTGTTTATCATTTCAGGTCTAACCATTTCAACATAAAAATTATTACTCACATATATTTGTTATTGCATAGCTTAATCCATCGTTGGAACTAATTTATAGCAAATCCCAATACCATCTATTTGTGAAAGATATATATGATAATTCGTGTATTTAGATTTTGTTTTTTTGTGTTTAAATACGTCTAAAATATAAAAATTATCACATCATAATTTATGTCAACACACTTAACATAAAATATATATCTTTTGTTTTTCCTAATTAAACCCATATATCTTTTATTAATTTTAAATCAAATCACCTTAATTTTTTTTGTATTATTTTAATATTGCATTATTGTATCACATCTAAAATTACTAGGTTTCTTTCTTATCTATAAAGAGGTTACTGGTTATTAAAAATCCAACATCAAAACTATAGAAAGTATATTTAACTTCTAAGGTTTAAGTATTGTTCAAGTAAAGGAAAGAACATACCAAGAAGCAAAACCATGTCTATAAGACCAAGTCCATTTTTCGCAAATGCTTCAACCGATTGAGAAACTGAAAAGCTTGGAGAGGGGAGATCTACATTGGAAGCCGAAGACTCAAAACCGTGTTTTCTCCCTGTCTCAATACTGTATCGCCCTCCTCCAATCTGCATGGAGGGAAAAAAATTTATCATCAACAATCAAGTCTTTGGTTGGGCAAATTAGCTTCGAAATTTATTGTATCTTTTTACGGAAGAAAAAAGGTAATTAATTACCAATTCTCCCGCATCTCTGGCAGCCATGGCTATGATATCAGCACAAGAAATAACTCCTTCACAGGCTTTCTCTAATATGTCCTTTGCTTCATCAATAACATCATAATCCGTCACACCATGATTTGGAGGTGCAGTTCTCTCAGCACTGGAGCTGTTGTTGAGGAGAATTGACGCATCCCTTTTAACAGCAAATTCAATTCAGTTTAACTTATTTTGTTAGCTGAGATAAAAAAGAAAAAAGGGCAGGCAGAGAAATTAAAATTTATGCAATGTGATCACATTGACAAAGCAGTCATGGAAATACAGCAGAATGAGAGCAGCTGCAATTGTTGGATTCTGCTTGACTCTTGGATAGACTACAGAAAAAACAATGTCCTCAACATCTGCTACCATACATCTGTCCTTGTAAAATCCAACCTGAAGAGCAGCATGGCATTGCCCTGAGAAGTTCACAAGGATGAGACCATCAGGGGTAGAGCAAACGCAGCAGCTGCTACTGCTGTTGACATCTTCATTTTTGTTTCCTCCGGAAATTACGAAATGAAGATGAGACGAAGATATATAGTCAGTACATTCTTCTTTGATATTTATAGCGAAAGGAGGGATTAATTTAGAAGTGGAAGCTTTATAATTCTATGACAAATTGAATGGTAAGCACGATGGCCATGCCACCTTCAGGCAGCGGTCAGCCTGCTAGTTCAATTTGCTCATCAGCAGTTGTTTCAGCTGTCTCTTGAACGTGCGGTCATGTCTCATGCATGAAAGCAAAACATGATTAAAAGTTTATATACAATGGCGTACAATCTTTCAACGTGATGAAATCTGGCGAGTCAAGACTAGATTTCATAGAAGACTATTGCTTTTGGATATTTTCAACGCCAGCAAATTTACGAAAGGTGCATATCCAGTGTACATAAGATATCAAAGTATTGTAGGCTAAAAGGACAGAATTTTCGCGGAAATTAAATTAATATATAATATAAATAAAATGAACTAAAAATCCAAATTTGAAAAATCTGAACTCAAACTGATTTGAACTCAATCGATTTGAATTCAAAAAAATTTTTTCAGCTATGAAATGAGATGACAGGTCATAGCAATTGTTGTCGTTTGATTAAAAATTATAATTCCGCATATAAAAAATTAACAGATAATCATTAAATAATTATCACATCAATTCATCCTATCGTATCAAATTGTTCTGAAACTTGAAAGAACAATTAAACTCACCATTAACTAGGTTTTTTTTTTTTTTGGCTTTTTTCTCTTTTCCTCTCACAGTTAACATGTAAGATTCATTTCTTCGTCTCTTTTCCCTCTGTTTCCACTCTCTGGCTAAAGAATTTTACAAACAATCTCAATTATAAATGGAAGAAAAAAAAAGTACTTGATGGTTTCTATTTATTAATTTGTTATTTGGATAATTCATAAAACTAATCCAAAATTTGAAATTAACTTCTGATTATTGAAGAAAAAAGAAAAAAAAAAAAACTTTACAGGAAACTTCTTTCTCTATTGGATCTTAACAGCAAACATTCAAGTTAAGAGTCTAATGTGGGTTTGGAAGCGATCCAAGTTTGCGAACAATGGTAAATTGATATGTCAACTTTGACTTTACTATCGGGTGAGAGTGTGTATACAGGGAATATGTCATTTTATTAATATCGTTTGTAAAATCTAAAAAAATTATTGATAATAAATAAAATAATTTATTGTATATTAACATAGTCTTAGCACGAAAATTTAAATAAAATACTAAAATAGTATGGGCTTATATCAATTTAATTTTTTGTGATAATTAATTCTAATTTATCTTTTTAATAATATGATACTAAGACAAAGGCTTGGAGACTTATATCATGCAATAGAATGTAAATAGCATTTAAATTCAGATAATTAATTCATTTTTCTTAAATTTGCTTTTTTTTTTTTTATTTTATGCTTTCTTGCTATAAAAAAATCTTTTGACGGAAGATTAGTGTCCTTATCCATTTTGGTTTATTAGTTAAATGAAAATTATCTTAACAAGAATAAAATAGAATTATGGGATTATATTATAAAATATTATTTCATCCAAGTTCAATAAAATTTTTAGATTTCATAATTGAGATTAATAAAGTTATATTATAGATATAAGGGTTAAAAAAAATTCTCAAACAAAAATTTAATAATAATTTAAATTTGATATTTTATTACAATAAATCAAATTGTGTTACTTTCATTTCAAATCAATTAAATTTTTAAATATTTATTTTCATCCAATTGAATTCTTATACATCTATTTCTACTTAATTAACCCCTCAATTGAATGGAAATAGTTAACTATGTTTCTTTTAATAAAAATTTAATTATTATAAAAAATAAAAAATCGAATAATTATTGAATTTTAATTCAGGATTTTTTTTAATCCTTTTGCTTACATTATATAACTGATTCAAGATCTTTTTATTGTCAAAGAAAAGGATGGTTAGACCATTTTATATACGCCAGGCCACGGAGTTTTGGACTCTATTGTTGGCGGTTCAAGTACGGCGGATAAGGCCTAACCAAAATTTGCTTTTTGTTCAGACAAATTCAATCAAAGAAGCAAAGATAAATAAAGAGATTACGTGACAAAGTTCTTGTTTTTTCTTTTCGACCCAACTCTTGTAACCTTTTTCGCTGTCAAAACACTTCGTCGCAGGTTTTTCCAAGAAACTTCACCCTCCCATTAAGATATAAGTTTGGGACATTGATTCAATGCAACCACAGGTTTTATTGAGTTGGTGGGTGACTAAAACCAGGCTTCAAAATGGGTTTCAAGAAGTTTGGAATGTTCTTTCTGCTGCTTTCTGTTCAGCTCAGCCTCTTCTTGCAGTACTTGCTCAAACTTCCTTGCCAAATCCCCTCATGACTATAGGTATATTTCTCTGTGTTGCTTTACCTTTCCAATTCTTGCCTCCCCAAGTAGACACTTTTGTGTGTGTGTGTGTGTTTTTTTTTTTTTTTATATTGTTGAAGCATATGTTTTCAATTTTTATGATGACGAAACTCAATAATTTTTCAAGCTGAGAAGGTGGTTAAAATTGTTTTTCTTTATTTGAAATATGACTATTGAGAGATTGTGGTTGATTGAATTTCTTGGAAGAATTATTGATCTTTTGCCTGTCTAGTGCTGCATGCATTTTATGAAACCAAAACCAAGATTTCAGCCTAAAACTTGAAAAGTGGGCATTCCTTTCTTGTCCCTGTAGTACATGACATTTCATGTGCATTTTTTAGCATAACTTTTTTCAGAGAAAGTTGAAAAAGTGATTCAGTCATGTGCATTTTTTAGCCTAACTCTTTTCAGACGAAAGTGAAAAAGTGATTCAGCATGGATGGGATCCAAGATATTGCCCTAAGAACAAGAAAAGTAGCACCCTCTAAAATTTGGTTTAGTTTAGTGGTTAATGTATGATCCTATGCTCAAATTTTAGAATTTGAATTGTCTTAGTAATCAAAGAATGTTTGGACCTTAATTAGAAGTTTAATTCATATAACCACTCTTAAAAGTTGATATCCAAAAAATTAAATATTTAAATTTCAATACTTATAATTATTTTTTGGTATTTTAAGTTACAATATTCTTTATACCAAAAAAACGTACCAGAAAAAATCTGATTGGACCTATCTTAGTCAAATAAATACTCATTTTTACAACCGTCAAAATAAAACGATGTATCCTGAAAGTTTTAGAAAAGTTAGATTCTAAAATATGTATTTAGCTTATCTTAATGAAATGTCAATGACATAGTGCTATTACTGTAGACTTCAAGCAAGAACAAAATGTTACATACAAAAATCTTCCCGAAACACTGTCATTAATGTCAGTGAAACTAGGCGATAAGCAAAATATCACAGCTGTAAACAAGCGAGGCGGTGGCGGAGGTGGTCATGGAGGCGGTCATATAGGAAGAGGACGAAGTGGTGGAGGAGGCAGGGGTCGAGGTCGAGGCAACGGTGGAGGGAAAAAATCACCAGCAGGGGTCATGAATCATCCCCGCATTTCTCAGTCTCGTGGTTCCAGTGGTGGCACCCTCAACTACGCTTCCTTACGTTTCCTGATTTTGACCTTCTTTGCCTCTTCTTTTCTCGTATAATTTTAATTAAATAGATTTTTTATGCAGAACTTGGGTAGATAATGTTTCCATTTTCTTTCGCTTTCGGAGTGTTTGTAAATAGGGATTATTAAATTTATAGAGAATTATTAATTTTTTTTTTGATTACATCAAATGGTAAAGTCTTAATATAAATAAGAGAAAAAAGGAGTGGTTCGAAACCAGATCCTTAATGTCCCTTCATGTACCTTTAGCCATTGGACTAAAAGCTTGAGGAAAATTATTAATTTTTTATCATAAAAAGAAAAAGATAACAAGGAATGCTTCTATTTCATTAATAATGTATTAGGTGCCCGATTCAATCTATCCAAATGCTATCTCTGCTTTGAACTTTTGAATTTAATTAATTTATCAGTTAGGTCTCATTAAGTATTATATCATAATGAAACCTGCAGTTATACTGCGAGATCAAATGTTAAATGTATGACAACAATATAATTTAAACTCTAATATTAACTTAAATACTTAAATGAAATAATATTAAATTTATCATCAAATCCCACAAATACAGTTTAAAAGCTGGGATTCATGAATTGTGGACATCCATGTTTTATTTAAAGAAAAATATATAAAAGTTCATTTAAATAGATCAAAGTAGTCTTCAGCTGCTTGACCTAGTAGCCAAGCACACCTTAAGAAGATATAAGGTTGAGGTTCGATCCCAACCTCCCTCCTCTCCCTTATTGTAAGGCTCTACCTTCTTTGAAAAAAAAAAATCAAAGTAAACAATATTTTTATAAAATAAACAATTCAAAATCAACCTCAATGAGAATATATGTAAGCCAAATAGGTTAACCAAATGTAATATAGTCTTAACTTGTCTATAAGCAATTAAACATATAAACATTGAAATTAATAACAGGAGCATACAATCGATTAAATCAAAGTTGTTATGCTTGTTACTTTTCCTTCCTTTTTAAAATCAAAATGAAGAAACAAATAAATTTATAAATGTTAAAATTCATAATGATAAAAGTAAAGATGTTTACCTACTTCAGTGTCAATCCTGTAAAAAATGAAAAGGCAAAAATGGCAATAAGTTTCAATTCTTTTCGATTTAATTGCAGTGCTTGGTTGAAGCACCGTTGTTACTAATTGAACACAAAAAAGAATTGACTAAACCTACCACCACCACTATAAGCATTGTCAATTCAATCCTTGGAACTACACACTAGAAACTTAATATTATCTCAATATAATTAGTTTGTTATTCATGTGATGTACAGATTATTTTTATTTATTTAAATGTGTATAAAAATATAAATTAATACTATTTAATTACTTACCTGTTTAATATATATATAATACATGTAATATAATTAAAATATTAAATCATAATAAAATTAAAGTTTTTAATTAAAAATTTTGATAAAATTTAAATACTTGTCTAACGTATAGATCTGTGAACCTACCGTTAGACATGGATGAAAAGAATCACCAACAATCTCTTTTGTTTAGGTGTGATTAGCCACCTGAAATATATTCTGGTTTGCAAAAATAGATGTTAGGTTCGAAAGTCGGTTATACATGGAGAAGGTTGTAGCACCCCCACAATGCCCATCCAACGAATGGTACCAGTTTGATTTCAAATTATCCAAGCCTTGATCATTTTTTGTCATTTACTAAATAATTTATATTGAAAATTGGTCTTAAAATTCTTCTAATAGTTTGATAGCAATTTAAGATAAAATTCTTACTTCAAGAGTATTGATAGAAATTAGTAGCCCATTCTTAAGAAGCTCTATCATCGGATTCATTAAAATATTTATTCAAAAAAAATAAATCTCCCAATAGTTTGATAAGGCTTACTTTAAAACAATCATCTAATAGTTTAGAGGATAAAAATTTTTATTATTATTATTATTATTAATTTTTAAAAACATTGGTTATGGAATTTTTCAATAGTTTGGTGGATTCATAAATTTATTTTGAAAAATTTTCATTTGAAAAAGATTATTTTTGAAAGAATTTTTTTTTTTTGTAAATATTTTTGAAACCTTAAAGAGAGATTTTTTGTTTTTTTTTTATTATTTTGAAAACTTATTTGAAAAGATTTTTTTTTGTTTATTTTGTTTTTCAGAAAATATTTTTTTTATGAAAACCAGTGAAATTAAATAAATAAAATAAAAACTTAACAAAATAAAAACAAAAAAAAAATAAAATCAAAAAATAAAATGAAAATAGAAAAGAAAAAACCTGCGATTCGGGTCGGGTCAAAGCGTAGATCAATGTGTAGGTCACTGGGTCAATGCGTGGATCCTGGTTTGTTAAAACGCTACCGTTTTGGCCCCGTATAAAAGGCAATTCGCAGCCTTACTTCTTAGAAAGCTAGCCCTCTCTCTCGTTTCAGACAAAGAAGCTCTGACTTTTCTCTAGAAAATCTTTAAGAACATTGTTGGAGATTTAACCGGACACTGGAAGTTCCACCAATTTTTGGGAAGGTCACCGAAAAATTCAGTTGAAAACTAAAAAATCCATTGGTTTCTGAAAATCTGACCAAAAACTGGCTGAAAAATTCAAATGGTCATTGAAAAAACCATCAAAAAATTCATATGTTCATCGTGTTCATCCCAAAAACACAAAAAACTTAGAATTTTTTTAAAAATTCAAAAAAAATTTCTAGATTCCCCAAATCCTGCCTAGATTCCTTCACAAACTCTTTAGAATCCTCACTTAAGCTTCAGAAATCTAGATTTAATCCTAAAATTTCAAACGAACCCAAAATCAAACATCAAAATCCCAAAAATTCATTTATGCTCGAAACTTTTTAGAACACTAGTTTTCTCTAAAAATCAACAATTTTTCCTAAAAATCCCTCTTCTTGTCTGTTGTTCTATGATGTTAGTGCAATTTATAGGCAACCTTAGAACAAGTTTAAGAAACGGACAGAATCAATCCCAGGCTTGAATCCTGGGATTGGATTCTGCCCAAACCCCAAATTAGGTCTAGGTTCTTAGCGGATTTCTTGAAAAATTCCTTGATTTGAGCTTTGATTAACCCTTTGACCGAATTCAATTCCCAATTTTAGTTATTCAATCAAAAATTAGGAAGAAAAGAAAGAAAAATAAAATAATAATAATAATAATAATAATAATAATAATAATAACCCTAAAAATAACACTATTGACCCTAGACACAAACGAGTGTTTACAATTACCCTTTTTTGCATATTTCTATTAGATAGAGATGATGCAAAGACCTAAACACCAGTTCTGTTCCAAAAGTCAAATCAGTAGTGAGTAAAACTGACAGGGACTGAACCGTGGGTCTAGAGATGAAGCGACCAAGACTGAATTGAAGTAAAAAAAAATGACCGAATTGAAATCACAAGTCATAGGAAATGATTTAGACTGAGCTAAGATAAACTGACTGGAATGAAACCACAAGTCAAAAATGAAGCAATTAGGATCGAGTTGAGGTCGAAAATAAATGACAAGGATGAACCACGAGTTGTAAGAAGCGATCTGGATTGAGCTAAGATCAAGTGACGGGGATGAAACCACAAATCAAAAATGAAGTAACCAAGACTAAGTTGAGGTAAAAAATGAATGACCAGATAAAACCATGAGTCATAAGAAGTGATCTGGATTGAGCCAAGATCAAGTGATTGAAACAAAATCATAAGTCAAAAATGAAGCAACCAGGACTGAGTCGAGGTCGACAATAAATAACTGGGATGAAACCATAAGTCATAATAAATGATCTGGACTGAGCAAAGATCAAGTGACCGAGACAAATCCATAGGTCAAATAAAGTTCAAGATTTCACTATGAATCCAAAGATTCATAATTTGGACAGAAGTTGAAAAGATCCCAATATGTCAAGTTTAACAAAATCATAAAGATTCAAGATCTGCAAAGGTTTTTAGATTCGCAAGAATGAAAGATTCATAAGATTCTAAGTTTCGCAAAGGTTCTAGATTCACAAAGATACAAGATTCACAAAGATTTTTAGATTCACAAGAAAAAAAGATTCACAAGATTTCAAGTTTCGCAAAGGTTCTAGATTCGTAAGGGTTTTCAGGTTTGTAAGAAAGAAAGATTCGTAAAGTTCCAAGTTTCACAAAGACTTCATAACAAAATTGAAAGAGTCAAAAGGATAAAGTAACCAAGACCGAATCAAGGTTGAAGATGACTGACTGAAACGATGTCGTAGGTCAAAAAATGACTTGACTTGAGTCAATATCAGATAACTGGGATGATGCTGTAATTCATGAGAGATGACCTAGACTGAGCTAAGATCAAGTGAGTGATAACAGAGTAATGCAAGTGCATGCTTATGCAAATGTAATGTATGTAGAGTTGATGTCATAAAATTTCAATTACGATGACAAGGTTCTCAAGATTCCACCAGTCCTTCTTAGCTTCTTGGTATTTAAAGCAAATTTTATCATCTGATCTATCATTCTTCTTATTTGGTCATAACTCACAAGTCGTGTCAATAATTTATCACTAAATTCATCACCGAGTCATCTAGTTTACCCCTTTTATCTCATTCTGAAATTCTTTCAAAAGAATAAAAAACTCTTTATAAAAAATGTCATTCATTTATTTGTCATCATACAAATAAATGACAGACATGATGCATTTTCTTAGTTCATTCAAGAAATGTTCATTTGGTGAAGGGTAAGAAAAATGGATCTTTATTATTGAAAGAACAGAAGGTAGGGTCAAGAATAACTCAAGGTTAACAAAGGTAAAATATTGTGATTTATTCAAATATGACATTAACATCCAAAATAATGATTGCTCAGATAATTTTGAACTCAAACTCAGGATCATCCTTAAAAAACATAATCATTATCCTTCCGGGGACCTTCACATGAAATTATTTTTTTTTTCAAGTTTTCATCTTCACTTAAACTACCCTTTCAGCTTTTCAATTTAAGTTTTCTTTTTTTTTTTTATCTCTTTTCATTCTTTCTGCTTTTTTTATTATTTTTGCTTTTTTTTCTTTTTTTTTTCTTTCTCTTTTGTTGATAC